CTGGGGCAACTGGGACCGAGGTGGGGATCTCCTTGCCCATGAGCCAGGGCTTTGCTGAAGACTTTTCCATGTAGGTTCTTCCTCTCCTGCCCTTCCCTGCTCCCAGCCAGGCACATGCATGACCCCGGGAGCTCTGCCGTGCGGGCGGAGATGGCGGGATACAGGTTTGCCTCTCACAACTTCCATCCGACGGTATTTTTTTCCCCATCGAATTTCGTCTCGCTTTGACCCACCCTGACTGCGCCGTGCCGGACGGAAGGGGAACATCTCTTTATTAGGGTTGTTTCCTTAAATAAAGCCCTCGGAGCAAGTGCTGGGCTGGCTCTCCTGGCTATCCCATGACCGGTGTTGCGTGTTTGGGTTATTAACACCTCATTAGATGTTAGTTCCTCCTCACGTCTCTGGTTCAGCAAATCCTGGTGGCTTTGCCGTTGCTCCCCGACTCCTGCTTCACCAGAGAATTAATTTTTTTTTTTTCATGGTCTCTTGCGCTTCTGCTGATGGTTTAAATTTCAGTTCTTCTTGAGGTCAATAGTTTACTTCGACTTTTCAGATCTTTCAACTTGTGTGTGCTGACACACGTCCCCCCAGCGCACGGGGTGCATCAGCACAGCTTATCGGGAGAGATTGCCACACCATCGCTGCCAGCGAGCGGCTGGCTCTCGCCTGCGATTGCAACCTGGGTTTCCACTTGGATGATCCCCAGAAATCTTTTTTTTTTTTTTTTTTCTTCCCCTTTTCCTTCTTCTGTATTGCTCTCCCAAGTGACAGCAGGGCACAGCTCTGCCCCGAAGGCTCTTTGGGGGCTCGTGGAGGTGGGTTAGGAGCCCATCACCAATCCGATGTCTCGGTTGCCACTTCGTGGCTTCCCTTTGACAACAAAACTCCTCATTTTATATATTCATATGTCTGTCGCCTCGTGTAACCCCGGGCAGGGACTCGAGGCTGTGGCCCCTGAGTTCTGGCGTTGGCAGATAGCACCTCCGAAGGGACATCTACTGCTCCTCTCCTCCACTCTTGCCCCTCTACTCCACTCTCGTGAGACCCCACCTGGAGTACTGCGTCCAGCTCTGGAGTCCTCAACATAAGAAAGACATGGACCTGCTGGAGCGTGTCCAGAGGAGAGCCATGAGGATGATCCGAGGGCTGGAGCACCTCTCCTATGAGGAGAGGCTGAGAGAGTTGGGGCTGTTCAGCCTGGAGAAGAGAAGGCTCTGGGGAGATCTTATTGCCGCCTTCCAGTCCCTAAAAGGCCTACAGGAGAGCTGGGGAGGGACTTTTTACTGGGGCATGTGGTGACAGGACGAGGGGGAATGGCTTTAAACTGGAAGAGAGCAGGTTTAGATTAAACATTAGGAAGAAGTTTTTCACTTTGAGGGTGGTGAGGCACTGGCACAGGTTGCCCGGAGAGGTTGTTGAGGCCCCATCCCTGGAGGGGTTCAAGGCCAGGCTGGAGGTGGCCTTGGGCAACCTGGTCTAGTGGGAGGTGTCCCTGCCCAGGGCAGGGAGGTTGGAACTCGATGATCTTCAAGGTCCTTTCCAACCTAAACCATTCTATGATTCTATGATCTAGCTCCCAACAGTGCCCGGGCGCCCGCTGCAGCCCTCGGTAAGCCGGGCTGGAAGTGGATGGCCCTTGCTTTGCGAAAAAGCAATCGCAGATTTGCTGCTTATTTTCCTCTTGAGCTTATTTTCGTCTTCCCTTCCACCGCTCTGCCCGGGGATGCTGTCTGTGGCATGATAAGTTATTTCGAGAAGTGGGGCAGCGCTGTTGGTATGGAGGGGAGCGGAGGCACCGAGATTAAAGGTAAATCTACACAGATAATTGGGAGCCTGCTTCCCCGCAGAAATCAGGTGAATGTGTACGTGCCGGGGTGGGCGGCGGGGCGGCCATGGCTCGGCGGTCTCCGGGGGGGCTGCCCCCGGCCCCCCCGCCTGCTCCCAGCCTCCGCCGGGGGGTCCCGGCCGGGGGCTCACGGACCGGCTCCGGGCACGAGGGGGGCTGGAGATGTAGCGTGGGGTTAGTAATCCCCCCCCCACACCCTGCGCCGCCTCCTCAGACCTGCCAGATGTCTCTCCTCTAGGCTTCATTTTTATAAATTGGCCTTTTAAAGTCTGTCATCCCCGTGCAGATGAAAGGAAGATGCTGCGATGCCTCTGCGTGCGCGTCTCCGAGCTGCGGTGCCTGGGTGGCGAGGCTTTTTGTTTGGGGCTTTATCTTTTCTGAAGTGCCTTTTTTGTTTGTTTGTTTGTTTTCTTCTTTTATTTTTTTTCCCCCCCTTAGTCTCGCAGAGTCTGTCGCATCTTGGCTTGCCAGCCCTCGGTTTCGGACAGGCAGGTCCCATTCTGGTCCCTCCTGGAGAAGATGGATGGGGAGAAGCATTCTACCCCATCCGGGGAGGGGGGCACACACCGGCAAAGCCCCAGAGCTCAACACACGGGGCAAAGCCAAGCTGCTCCCTCTTGGCACGTGCAATTAAACCCATCGCCGTGAGGCTTTCTCTTCCCCACCACGTCCCTTTCCACTCTTTTCCCTTTGCACCCTTCCCCCCTCCCTTGCTCTTGCTGTGCCTGCTTGGATCGGCAGCCGGAGAATCCTTTTCATCTCTTTTTTTCTCCCCGAGCCCAAATTCTCCTGGCGCGTGGCTTGGTGCCGGGGCAGTTCCCGGGGGGGTTGATGGGGAGCTGGGGCTGTGAATTTTAAAGCCGAAGGACAGTAGCCGCCACCCCGAGCTGAGCCTTTAAATTCTCTGCTCGGTGATGGATGGATAAGTAGGAATTGCATTCGCTGGGCGGGTAACAGACAGCTTTGCATTTTCTGCTGCTTTCCCACTGTCTCTTGGGGAAATTCAGACACTGCTCCTAAACTGCAGGGACGGGGTTTTTCCCAGCTGGCATGGATCCCTGCGAGCAGGACCTGCTCGTCTCTTGGGAAAGCCCTGTGATGCCGGGAAGAGCCTCGCCGGGGATTCCTGCAGGGACCGGAGCTCTGTCGGGGACCGGCCACGGCGCTGCAAGATGTGAGGGGCCAGCGCAGGTCCCTGATGGCCACGTGTGTCCCCTGTCCTGGCTGCCTCCATGGCACAGCCGGGGCGCCGAGCAGCATCCCCATCTCGAAAGCGGGAAGATACCACGTGTGTGGGGCAGAGATGCTGCCGAGAGGAAAGCTGCGTGGTCCTTACAAGACAGTGGAGAAGCCAAGCTCCCTGGGCTCTGGCTCTCACAAATAACTTGAGGTTTGTCTTTCCATCACATGCTTTTGTTGCCTGTGCGACTTTCTCCCTATTTGAGGGGGTTTGAGAGCTGCTTCCAGGGCTGGAGATGCTCCCGGAGAGCTCATGATGTTTCATGCTGGTGGGTCAGGCAGTGCCTTGTCTCTGTAGGGATGTGCTGAGGAAACGGCTACCCGTTCCTGGCCGCTGCTGCTGCTCCAGATCACAGCCTTCGGGGCTGTGTCCTGCCTGGGACCGACTTGGTCGGGGTCTGGAGGATGAGAAGCGCGTTAGCACAGTCCCTGGTACCCGCCCTGATCCCGTGGCTTGTGCAGTTTATCCGAGCGGTAATTAATTATTGGTCATGTAAGCTGCTGGCGGGTCACTGCGCGTGATTTATTAGCAGGAGTAATCCCTCGCCAGCAAAAGAGCTGCTCTGTGACTGGAGAACAGCAAAATGCAGGGGAACTGTCCTGTCCTTCCAGAAATCAGGTGTGATCCCCAGGCATGGTCCCCGTTTGGAGCACGGCAGCCACAGGCTCCCCGGGGCTCTGTATTTGAGCCAGCGGAGGTGGATTAACCAAACCGTTGCCCTCGGTGGGGAGTGAGGCTTGTCTGGACACACGGATCTTGAGTTTGGGGACACGGGCTTCAGCAGTGCCCCAGTTGCTCACTGGCAAGGCTCACCGTCGCCGGCCGGCACAAGCAGCCCCGGCACTGGGAGATGATTTTTGAGATGCAGTTGCTGCTGGGGTTTCCCCAGGGAGATGGTTCGAGCTGCCCAAAGCCAGACAGAGGTTTGGGAAGTGCAGCATAAGCACAAAGCCAGGGACGCACGTGTGCCTCTGCGAGTCCCGTGGCCGCTGGGAGAGGAACCAATGTGGAGGTCGGGCAAAGAGGTGCATCTCCCGTGGGCATGTGGTCTTCAACTTCTCGTGGGCTCCTGGGTCTGGCTTATTGGAGGGATCTTTTTTTCTCCCCCCTGTACCCTACCCACTCGTTGACCTCTGCCGAGGACCCTTCCCGGGGTTATCCGTTACGCCACGGTGCCTGATGCTCAGCAGGGAGGGCGAGCGGCAGGGGCTGAGCTCCCACGTGGCTCCGGCAGCTCAGCTCGGTCTGACGGTGATGTGGGTGGACAGGGAGGGCTCGGCCATGGCGGGGGGACAGGAGAGCAGCGCCTGCCCGGCGTGAGATGTCACCTGGCTGAGGAGGGTCTGGGCTATAAAGCCTGGGAATGAGAAGCTCTGGCAGGGTGTCGGGCTTGGTCCTTGCCAACCAAAGAAGTAAGATCTATGTCTCTTCTAATATATCTCCTTAAAAAAAAAAATAAAATGATGTGGTAAGGGGTCAGGGCAGAAATAGGGATGGAGAAGGAGAAGGACCAGCTGCTGGGTGCGGAGGGGAGGGTGCTACCCTGTGCGCCCATGCAGACCCCGCTGGGACGCCCGGTGCTGCCTCACCCCGTGGGAGAGCTGCCACCGTGCCCGGGCAGAACACACAGGCAAGAGAAATCCTGAAGGCGAATCCCCCCCGGGCTCCTCCGGTCGGGGACTCCTTAGCGGTTTTATGAGAAATCAATAATGCTTTTGCACAGTTATAATCGTAAAATAAGTACAATTTATGGCTGCTGCCGGGGCCAAGATTTTTTTCCGACATACGAGGTGGAAAGGGAACAGCGCAGAAACACTTTCCCACGGTGTTTCCCTTTGCCCCGGGGCTGCAAACCCGCTCCTGCATCGTTGGGGGGGGACGGGACCCGCTTAGCCGGGGGGCGCACACACACAGAGAGTGGGTGGCCCCTGGCTGTGCCCACACTCACGCAAGCCCTCCTCCCCGCTCCCCGACTGGAGGGAGTTCTGCGAGCTGCACGCCCAGGCGGCCGCCGTCGACTTCGCCCAGAAGTTCTGCCAGTTCCTGAAGGAGAACCCCCACTACGACACCCCCGGGGCAGAGACCTCCTTCTCTCACCATTTCGCCGCCAACTTCTTGGACATCTTTAGCCTGGAGGTCAGCCGGGTGTTCGTGTCCGACTCCCCCACCAAGTACAACATTGTGCCCTTCGTGGGGCTGCAGAACTGCCACGTCCCCTACGGACGCGAGGTCAACCCGAGGAAGGAGGAGACGTCCACCGAGTCCCTGGACAGCATGGACACCCCGTTGGGCGCCGGACGGTACCTGAGCCCGGTACAGCAGGTGCAGGCACGCAAGGTGTCCTCCTATGGCCAGTCCCGCAGCTCGGAGGACGTCTCCATCCATGCTGCCACCAAGCCCAAGTTCAAGAAAGGCTTCTCCTTGAGGAACATGAGCTTGTGCGTGGTGGATGGTATGAAGGAGATGTGGCATCGCAAGTCCTCTCCGGAGCCGGGTGCTGAGGCTGCCCCGAGTGGCCGGAGAGCCGAGAGGGAGCCGTGGCCGGCTGGAGGGGGCAAGGAGCCTGGTGACCCACGGGAAAAATGGACCCACAAGCTGCGCCTGTCCAAGGTGCCCTCCTCCAAGGTGGAGCTGGTGGACATCCAGAGGGAGGGGACACTGCGCTACATGGTGGCCGATGACACGAACTGTGTGGGGAGCTCGCAGTGGCAGAAGTGCCGCCTCCTGCTCCGGAAAGCGGTGAAGGTGGAAGGAGAGAGGTTCCTCCTCGAGTTTTACGTCCCTCCGAAGGTAAGTCCTAGCTTTTTTTCCCCCGCTGTTGTTTTTCTGAGCAATGCAAGCAGCAGTTGGACTTTGCTTGAGGGTTTTATGTCCACTGCTGAGCTGGGGTGAAATCCAGCTCTGGTCTGGAGCGGGGTTTGGTGCCGGGTGGCTGAGATGCGAACGGAGGGGACAGCGTCATTGAAACGCATCCAACCTGCAAGCCCCAGTTGCTGCCATTCACCAGGGCATAGCTCCCTCCTTCCCCACAGCCTTTGGGAGACATGCTGAAGCCGCTGCCTGGTCCTTTGGCCCCCAAATATCATCAGTCTTGGTGGAAAAGCTCATTCCGCCATCAAGATGTTGGGTGTCCAGGCTCTCCAGAGGCTTTTTTCTCTTCCCAGTGCGTTGCGGTGACATGTGGTTGACTGGTGTCTCATGCAGCAGCAGTATGGCAGGGATTGCTGCTTGGGCTTTGTGCTTTAGATCTCCGAGGGATGCTAGTCCACTTTCTGAAAGCAAGGGTGTTTTTTTTCCTTTTAAAAATAATACTTCATTTGGAATAATTTTGCATCTGCAAGGCCACCTCCAATGCAGCTTTTGGTGAGGGGGGCAGAAGACGCCAGTGATGCCCTTTGGGGCTGGAGCATCACTGCCACGGATGGGTTTTGCAGCTCTCCTCCCAGACAGCCCCAGCTACGTACCCTCCTGGGCAGAGGAACACTGATTACTATTATTATTACTGACAGTATCACTTTTCCTTGCCTGCATCTGTTCTTCTGTAATTTCAATGAAAGCTTCAAAAGCAGGAGAGATTTTTCGTTGTGGCGTGTCCTCGGTGCATCCTCCCTCCCCTTCTCACAGCCGTCTCCCCTGCACGCCATGCAGGGAAACCTTGTCCCCGTTTTCCTGGGGGACACGCTGAGTGGTGGAGCCATTTGCTCAAGAAATGTGGATTACGAGACCTTCAGTCGTCTCCTCGCCGCAGGACTGCCTTTGCTCCTGGGCTGAGCGAAGGGATGCCTCGTGCTGCCAAACCCTCGCTGGCGCTAACGCCGTGGCTGTGCCTCATCTGTGTTGTGTGTTCGCCTCTTCAAAGAGCACAGGGCAAATAACGAGCCGTTCCCCGGGGCTTTATTAGCTGTATGTGTCGGTAATGAAATCTCAGGTTATTTAAATACCTAGAGAAGAAAAATCTCATTTACTTCATCTTCTCCAGGACCTTCCTGCTTGTGCTTCAGTCCCTGGTAGCGATGCTATCACGAGCTATCGTGCCAGGCACGCACCGGGGGCTGCGGCTCCGTGGGTCTCGGTGTGCCCCAAACCCCCGGTAGCCCTCGGTTTGGTAGAGGCATGGATCCATACGTTATACATAGGGACAGCAGGGTAGTTCATATTTTTAAACATAATTTTCTATTTTTCTGAGGCCAAAATGACCCTGTTGGTGTTAGCCTGTGCCTCTCACCTAACCACCCCATCTCTCCCGAAAAAATCTAAACCATGAGTTGAAACTCAAGTGCATCTCTCTAGAGAGTGGCTCCGCACCGGTAGGGATGGTGTGCATCGCTGGTAGCTGACTCGGGAGGGGCTTCCTCAGCCCAGGGACCGCACGAGACGCGGCTGGAATGGAACCACCCTGTCCGTGGCTCGCTGAACGGAGGGTCCCGTGAGCCCGGTGGGTGCGAGCCGCACAGAGCAGCGCTGGCGAGTCAGCCGCACCAAAGGGGCAATAAACTCAGCTTAAAATGGAACGACTGCCGCTCTTAAAACATTTAAGAGAGTACTCATAGAAGGATTTTTTTTTAGTGTATCTTGATTTGCCTCTAAAAATCAATTTTGAAATGATTTTATGGCAACTTTTATGAACGTTGTCTGCTCTCCTGTTACAATCACACCCCGCTTTGGTTTACACCTTTTTCCCCTCATCCCATCTTGCTTTCCATCTGGCAAATGATTCAGCTGTAAAAGTGGCACCAGCCTGGCACAGCTGGAGGAAAACGGCTTTTTGCTTCAGTGGCGTGCAGGTTTTGTGTAGGCCCTACAAAAACTATGATCGTGCCTTTACATCTTTAAAGGGAAGGACCCTCCTGGGAGAAGACCCTTCTCCGGCTCACCAGTGGATTTACACTGTATTTTCTTTCCTTTCCAAGCAGCTGCCTCCTCCTACCTGACCTTCTCCCGTGCAAAGATCAAGAGGGAAAAATCCCCCAGGGCAGGGCTGAGCCCCCACAGCCCTGGGGCTGGTGGAAACGAAACGTCCTGGAGGGGAAAAAGCAGTTCCTGTTCTCTGTCTTGGATCTATATTTTTATTTCCCCACACACCCCCACCCAAAAAATGGGAACTGAGCCCATTGTTGGTAACCTGCTGTGTGGTGCTCATCGCCGGCCTCGTCCCATCTCGTGCACCCAAGGGACCAGGCGCAGGTTTCGGTGACTATGTCATATCTCTGTTTCCCACAGCTGTGATGCTTCGAATCCCGGAGCCCCGGAGGGGACCAGCCCCGGAGAGCAGCTCCACAGGCTCCTTTGCAGGGATTTGTTATAATTAAAACAAATATCCGGGGAATCTGTTGCTCAGCAGAGACTTCAAGTGGGAGGCACCAGGTCCTGCCCCCCCATCAATGCTCCGGCGGGTGCCGGGGGCCCCAGGGGAAATTCATTTTTCTTTATTTTAATATAATTAAAATTCCCCGCATGGCGAAGACTGCTGCGTCGTAGCTTTTCGGTTGAAATGCCGCTCCCGCACTGGCTAAATGGGGCATCTTCCCAGGCTGCTTTCTGCAGAGGGAGCATCCCCCGTCAGACAGCGCAATTCTCGTGTGGCGTGTCTCCATCGGGAGAGGCTTTAAACAGGAGAGGAATAAGTGGTCTTGGCAGAGCTGGTGTATCAGCCCGCGCCGGAGCAGGGAAGAGGTTTGGCAGTTAAATGCACTAACCTCCCTATCTTCCAGCGGGCCTCCTCTTGGTTTAATTAAAAGAGCTTGGAGTTATCAGGCACATGAGGGAAATCAATGCTTTTTTTTTCTCCTCCCCCCACCACTGCCCCAAGCCTGTAATAACCGCGCAGGCTGCGCTGTGATCTTGCTTCTCCAAGAGCCCCCTGCCTTGTCCCCCGGGAGAGTTTGATTCAATTGAGCGACTTTTTTTTTTTTTATTTTATTGATTGATTTCTTTTAATTTTTATCTGGGTTTGTTTTTTTTTTTTTTCTTATCCCAGGCTTCCAAACCCAAGGTGAGCATCCCGCTGTCGGCCATCATCGAGGTCCGCACCACCATGCCGTTGGAGATGCCCGACAAAGACAACACCTTCGTCCTAAAGGTGCGAGCAGGGCGGCAGCGGTGTGTATTCCCATGGGGACCCCATCTGCACCAGCATCCAGCCCCCGCTGCGGGGATGCTAGATCCCCGAGGGGATTGTCGCCTCATTTTTTCGGAGACGGGATGCCAACAGCGCTGATGGGCCCCAGGGGATCTCTCCCCTGGTTGTGCCCCACTCCCCAAAAATGATACAACCTCCCCCTGATGCCTGGGTATTTTGGGATCGAGCTGTTTGCCTGACTTTCACCATGGGGTTTTGCTTCTCCGTGTCACCAGGAGACTGGTTAAATTAGTGTCCAGAGACACTAATTGGTGCGGCTGCCTGTGGTTTTGTGAACTGCCAGTGCCCTGGATCGGTGGCACGTGGTGGCCATTTTGACACGGCACTGGGAATGGCTGTGCGGGGCCACCGAGGCCCTGGGGATCAACCACCCCACGCGAGTCGGGGGGCACGAGCAGAGAATGAAAGTCTCTCTCTCTCCAGAAATCTCTCCCGTGTCATGCAATTAATTAGCTTAATGCTCCCTCCTGCTCTGCCGAAAGGCAGCAGCCTGTCATGGCAGAGCGGGGCTGAATGTCGCAGGGTCCCGGCTCGGGGCGTGACATGCTGCCGTGATGATGGATGTGTCGCTGGAGATGGTGTTTCTCTCCAGCTAATGAGGTTCTGCCTCCCAGCTCGTGATAATGGATTTGTGCTCTCCATCAGAGTCGTTGGACGTGCCCCACTGGGGACGTGCCCCACTGGGAGGTAGCCCATGGATGTGGGGAACACCAGCGTTTTGAGGATTTCTGTGTCCTACCTTTGCTAAAAAAACCCACCTTGCCCCCTGATGCTTCTCCCTAAAAGCATGTGGCAAAGGCTGAGTGGAGAGGCCGGGCTTCCTGGCTGAATGAACCTGCCTAACAGCTCAGAAAACTGTGAAAGCAGAGGAGGGAAAAAATTGAGCCTGGCTTCATGAAAGCACCCGTGCCCGGTAGCCCATCTGGCTCCAGCACACATTGCCGTGGGAAATCGCTCTCCACCAAACCCGCCTCCTTGTAAAGGTCCCACATCTTCTCCTGGCAGCCTCCTCCAGAGCATCCTCCTTGCCCCACAGACTTCTTGCTGTTCAACCTCAACCTCTGCTGTGGTTGGTGTCCTCCATGGACACGGAGGCTAATTTGGCTGTTATCTTCTGTGCCTCAAAGACCAACCTCATATGTCGTCCTCTCTCCAGACTGACCAGGTCCTCCCCACTTTCCCTGTGGGCTCTGGAGAGTGTGTCTCAAAGCATATGTGGTGCCGTGGCCGGGAGCGGATGGGAAGGATTGCTTCTCCTTTGATTGCTTCTCCTTTCTTCTTCCTCTTTACCCAGCCCAAGTTGACCCAGTTGATTTCTTTGTACCCTGATGACGATGTTGACTCATACGCAGCTTGTAGTCTGGTGTAACCCCTCGATACTTTTTGCAGAACCGCCCCGGAGTCACGGTTCCCCAGCCCAGACGCCCACAGCGATCAGTGTGAACCCGGAGCTCGCCCATGCCCTTGAGCTGGGGGCTGGCTTGGGCTTTTTCTTCCACAGAGCATTTCTCAGCTTTGACAAGTTCATTTGAATTCTCGTCTCATCCTCCAACACACTTGCCACGTGGTGTCATCTCTAAATTGATTAGGCATCTTCTCTTTGCTTTTGTCCTAATCGTTACTGAAGAGCAGCGTGCAAGAGAGTCCTTGATGTGAAGGAGCTTCTAGCGTATCCCTCAGCTTTGATCGTTAGCCATTGATAACCCATTAACCATCCATAACCACTCTTGGAATATGGCTCATCAGCTGCTTATGATGATGTCTTCTAGATCCCCTTACAAGACTCATCTTGCTACCTGCCTTGCTGGAGTGTCACATCAGTGGCCAAAGCGTGGCCAACGCCAAGGATGTGGCCCTGCCTCTCCCCGTCCCTGGGGCTGTCACGAGCAAGTGCGGATGGGTTTGACGGGGTTTGGTCATGGCAGGTCCCTGCTGGGGGGATTTGGTTCCGGGGTGCTGCCTGGGTGCCTGTGGAGGGTTGGTTTCTCTGCCTGCTGGAGGAGGGCAATGAGCTCTTCCCCTCCTCTGGAGCCCAACATGCTCTTTCCACTCCCACCGCTAATGGCCCTGTGACCGCTTCAGCCATTTCTTTAATTACCCCGGGGAACGCACCAAACCCCACCGGTCTGAAAAACGCCTGATTGCCCGGGTACCCTCCTGCTGCTGCCCTGTTCTGGCCGGGGCGCTTACCCTGCCGGGGGGTTAATTGATTGCCATCGATCCTTTGAGCGAGCCGAGGCAGCGAACGGCGCAGCATCGAGCCCATCTGCTCGCTTCTCTGCCTCTGCTGCCCCTCTCCTGCTGCTCCGGCTGCCCTCTGCCCCCCCGGCCCGGCTGTCAGCACAGGATGCTTTTCCCTTATTCCCAACATCCTTTATTATTTGTAGCTCATTTTTTGCCCCAGCCCTTTTTGCCGGGACATCTTCTTGCTGCTTTTTTGTGTTGCCCCGTTGCTGGCTGGACTCTTGGGGGGGCGGTGAAGCGCCCCTCGATGCTGGGGTACGGATTAAAGGGGTGAGAAGGGGAGCTGGGTGCCGTGGTTTCCCCGCTGCCTTCCTACGGGGCTGATGTCGAGCCGCATCTTAACCTTCGCATGCGACGTGCCGCGCTCTGGCAGGTTACGATGGGCAACCTGAAAAGGAAAAGCCTTGTTCAGGGGGCCCACGCCGGAATAGTTTTTCCCAAATTGCCTAAAAAAATTAGCAGGCAGCATATCCCCACCGCCCGTCAGACACCAAGCATGTGCATTTTTATTTTTTTTTTAATTTTTTTCTTTTTCCATTGCACAAGCAGACATTTGCAAAATACCCAAACCCTGCACGTGTTTTGCTTGCTGTCATGCTCTGCATGAGAGAGCAGCCCTGTCTCCCACGCCGGCTTCGTGCACTGCCCGCAGAGAGCCGGAGAGGCTCCTTTGCTCTGGTTAACCATAACGGAGGGGGTAAATCTTTGCTGCTCCCCTCCACCTCTGCTCGGGGCAGGATCTCCCGCGCGCGGCCCCGGGCTGTGGCAGGGGAGCAGATTGCTGCTCGACCTCAGCCCGGGCGCTGGGCACCGCTCCCCGCACGCCCTGCTTATTTTCAGGGCAGTGATTCAGTTGTTTGTGATTAATTTAATTTGCTAGGAGGTTGTCTCAGCTGGCAATGCGATACCCTGCCGGAGTCAGGGCTGCCTCGCCGGCTCGGGAACACGATGTGTAAGGGGTCCGGGAGAGGTGCGGGGAAACCATCGCATGGGATGGCTCCTGAGACCATCTGCCCTGCTGCCCCGTTGCTGATGTGGGGCTTTTCTGGGTCCTCCCTGGCCCTAGAAAGCCCCAGCTCCTTTGGGATTGCAATTTTGGAGGCTCTTTTGCATCCTGATTTTTATGTGAATTATTTTCCTTGTTAAAGTGGGTTTCTCTCCCACCCTGTTGCAATCAGAAATCGGAAGCCTCAGGGGCCAGCAGGCAGAAAAGGTAGCAGAGGAGAGGTTTTAGACTCCCAGGTTTGAGGATCTGGCAGGATTCTGGGGCAATGAGAGAGCAGCACGGCTTCTGCTCTACCTGTGCCGAGCTAGTTTCTGGAGGATGCTGAGGCACCCCAGAAGCGAGGGATGCTGTCTGCACTGGCGCGTGGTGCCGTGCACCCCCCATGCCCCCAGCCAGGTGTGGTTTTTCCAGGGAGGCTGTAAAAAAAACCACCTCGTGATGCGTTTGCTGATAACGGTGGGGTGGGGATTTTCCTCCAAGCCCCAGCTTTGGTCAGGGGTTACACATCAAAGGATCTCTGTGGGTAACCCTTTAGCATCCCTTTGCTGGGATGAGGGGGAGCACTCATCCTCTCCTGTTTAAGCACGGTGCTCTTCAACAGCAGTAAGTGGATGGGGGGGTCCAGCTGGGCTATGGGGGGGTCCAGCTGGGGTATGGGGTGTGCTTTACCCCAGGGGACCCCGGCCGCAGCCTGACGCTGTCCCATGTTGTCCGCAGGTGGAGAACGGGGCTGAGTACATCCTGGAGACCATCGACTCCCTGCAGAAGCACTCCTGGGTGGCGGATATCCAGGACTGCATCGACCCCGGGTAAGCCTTGCTGGAGGAAGGTGCTGTGCGGGGTCCGGGCTCACCACCTCCACGATACCCTCACCACCCAGCACGGGTTATTACCCCTGATGCAATTTTTTGCTACTCGGGGTATTACAGAAAGTCCCTGACTCGCGTCAGCAGAAGTCTGGAGGCAAAGTCAGCAGCCTGTGTGTGTCAGAGGTGCAGCCTTGCAGCGAGCTGGCCGCTTGCTCACCCCCTCCTGCTCCACACCACCTTGGCCAGGCAGAGGCAGGCAACCCGGGAACGCAGCCCTCAACGCGGGAAGCACTTAACACCCACCCTCTGAAGCTTTTCTACTATATTCGAGCTATTTTCTATGGTTTTTTTTTCCCCCAGTCCAGCATCTGTAGTATATTTAAGATTCTGCTGGCTAAATCGATTTATTTATGTTTCTGTCACAGTGGCATTAACACTGTCACTGGAGTCACAACAACTCTGCCAAAACTTCTCATCTGCTTTAGGTTACGCTGTAGGGAGGTTCGCGTGCCCTTCAGCTGGCTCAGCCAGCCCCGGTCCCCAGCAGGCAGGATCAGCCCAGGCACTCCCCGGGCTCCGGGGAAACCCCAGCACTGCGCTTCTTGGCACAGTTTTGGAAAAAACAAGGTGCCCAGGCTTGCGGAGGTGAAAACCTCGCACAAGCCTGGAACAGGGGCTTGGAGAGGCTCCAGCTGCCTCCGGGCTGCCTTTGCCCCCCTTACACCAAAGAGACGCGGTTCGGGTGCTGCAGGGTGGGTCACGGCAGAGGCTGCGTCTCGCGGGGAGGATGCACTAATGGACTCCAGATCTGTGCTCCTTCAGCTCCTTTTGCTGCTTTTTAAAACATTTAATTCAAGGAGCAATGCTGAGGCTGGGCTGCTGACGGAGGCGAGGCTGGGGAACACAGCCCTGTTCCTCCCAGTGCGTGTTTCGGTGCCGGTTTTCCTTCCAGGGCCATGGCCGTGCTCACCTGGAGCCGCTGCAGAAGCTGCCGGCAGCCCTGCGCGAGCCCCTCGCTCTGCCGCCGGCAGCCTCCCAGCCTTTTTATGTTTGCTTAGCGCCCGGCACAGTCCCGCTTTGGCCCCCGGACGTGACTGTAAAGCAAATAATAATGAACTCCAGAGCAAATAATAATGAGCTGTTTAATACACCGACACACATGCTTGGTGCCAAGAACGAATTTTCAATCAGCTGCTGATGCTTTTGCCAAGGGCTGCGTGCTGGAGCCGCTGCATGAGCGCCCGTCGACGGCTTTTCTGCAGAGCGCTGTTGGTTTTGGTTTCCTTCCTCCCTTCTTGTTTTTAACCGGCTGCAGCTGAATGACTCCCAATGGCTGATTCACTTACTGGCCACTAAATAATTCAGCAGCTCCCTCGTGAGCCGTTACCGCTAACGCAGCCGCTTCCTTGCTGCCTGTGCCCATGTGGCCGCCGTTAAGCAAGAGCAGCCGAGTGCCATGGGCAGCTCTGGCAGCGCCGCCGGGATCTCGCTGGCAGCCAGGATAAAAATAGGCTGTGGAGCAAGAGGGGGGACTTGAGCAAGAAGGATGCTGAAGTGCACGGGCAGGGGTCGGGATGCAGGGATGCTCTCTGCCGGGGCTGTACCGCTGTACCCCCCCACCCCTTGCTCTGCTCCTGCTCGCTCTGGGCCTCCCAGCTTGGTTTTTTTGGTGTCTTTTGGGGATGTAATTCCTACGGGTTGGTAATTCCCTTCGCAGAGGGTAAAAGCGAAAGCGCCCTTAGGTGGAAGTCGGTGGTGGGAGCGTGCATCCCCCTACGGATGTCTTGCAAAGCAAAGCGCTGAAAGTCAAGGCAACAGACTTCCATCCGAACCAACAAGGCCACAGCAAAATACTGCGGCTAGGACCGACCGGCGTGGTGCGCGTAGTGAGGGCTTTCAAGGGTTTAACCTCTTCACACCGGTATCTCACCCCAAAAAAGCCACGTTGTTTTGCTGGCCACTCTGCCTCTCGATGCTGTGGGTGCTTCTGTCCGTGGCAGCCCCCCCAGGAGGAAGAGAGGAACATTGGGATGTGCTCCCGGATCACAACTGGAATTTCGCTTTGGTCGAGTCCCCATCGCGTGCCTGTGAGCGGAGGCGCCACGCGTGTGTGTCTCTGCGGCGTGGCAGCTGACGCGTGACCGTCCGCTCTGTGCTCTCCCCCCAGGGACAGCGGGGACGACATCGAGCTGGCGTCCTGCGCGCAGGGAGCCTGTCTGCCGGGCAGGGTGTCCTCCTGCAGCTGCGAGTTCCTGGCTGACGGTAAGGACCTACGTCTGGAAAAAACACCCGCTGGGGAGGGTGGGTGTCTCTGGGTGCCAGCTCTGGTTTGGAGGGGGGCAGATCCTGCCGGTGATGAAGTGAAGGAGCCTGAAGTAGGTGCTGTGGGGATGGATATTCCTCTGTCCATCGCCTTCCCCTTCCTCACGCTTGCCCCCACTGCTGTTGAAGACATTGACGTTACCCCTGTATGCCCTGGTACACGCAGAAAATCAAGTCCCCGTCTACAGGCACTGGGGTCTCTGGGTCCCAGCGAGCAGCCTCCACCTGCACAGCCCCACCTCATCTCTATGCCCAGCCAAGACACGTCTGTGCCCCCCATCCCGGTCGCACCAGGGGAAGGAAACCCGGTAAAGCCTGAAAGGGAGTCCCCCCGAGCTGCAGCAAGAGCCGTAGCCTAGCCCCGAGATGTCTCCGAGAGCCAGGGGTGCTCCAACGTGGCTGCCTTCAGAGCAGGAATACCCCTGGCCATGTCTGGTGATGACAAACCATGAGCTCATCCCTCTGCAAATTCCATTCCAGATGTGCCCAGGCCGCCAGACAGATGTGCCCTGCCTGGCGCTCACAACACCGCCACAGCCACCGCCGTCCCCACGCCCCACGGCCGGGGCAGGGACTCCCTGGGGGAGCTCCTCACCCACGTCCCGCTGGAGAGCTTCCTGCAGACGCTGGAGTCTTCCCCCACTGCCAGTGGGCATCTCGCAGGTACCGGGATGCAGGATGTGGCCCCAGCGCCTCGCTCTTGGGGATGCACGGAGGGAGAGGAGGAAGGGGTGGGAGAAGGTGATGTCTGGGTGCTCCCTAAAAACCTGCTGTCCCTGCGGCCAGGGGAGGACAACGAGGCGGAGGCGGAGATCAACCTCTCCGACTTCCCCTGGTTCCATGGGACTCTCTCGCGGATCAAGGCGGCTCAGCTGGTGCTTTTCGGGGGTGCCCGGAGCCACGGCTTGTTCGTCATCCGGCAGAGTGAAACACGGCCGGGGGAGTACGTGCTGACCTTCAACTTCCAGGGGAAAGCGAAGGTGGGTGTTCTCCACATCTCCATGACTGTTAGTGCCAGCCCTGCCCAGCACCCCAGGCCCCTTCTCACCCTACTGGGGCTCTGCGAGCAAGCGGGTGCCATGCGGTCACCCTCAAGGTGGCAGCTCTGTGGGGAGCTGCACCCCGGCAGGGCATCCCTCGGGACCGTCCCCTGCGCCCTGCCCAGCCCGTCAGCGCTTTCCCAGCTGGATCAGTGCCTGCCACATGGGCATAAGGTTAAATACCCCACGGGAGCCCAGCGTAGCCCGGCGCATCATCCCCTGCCGCCTTCTTGTCTGCTCCGTGTCCTGAAGTACACGGATGCACTATAAAAAACCCAACCCGTGTGTCGTTTTCTGCTGGGTCCCTTTCCTACCAGAGGGCACACGCTGCGAGGGGTTGAGATATAACTGCCTGGTCTTGTCGCCTGTCCTGCAAGGAATATTGCAGACAGGCTGGGGGCTTCCCTAGGCTGGCTGTGTCACCAGGATTGGAACAGCAGCCCCCTCGGCTGCAGCCAGCCACCCTTCTCTGGCCGCTTCTCTACGGTGTTCATCACCAGGAGGGGACAAACTTCTGGGGTTTTGCAGGAGACCCTCCCAGCCAGACAGGGGGGAAAAAAAAATAAATAAGTCCTGTGTTACAAGCAAACCTTCCTTGGCTGATGGTGGCTCCTTGTGCTGATTGCAAGGGTGAATCCCACCCTTGCAATCCCCAGCTCACCCGCTGGCCCCCTGCCCCTGCAGCACCTCCGCCTGTCGCTGAATGAGAGCGGGCAGTGCCACGTGCAGCACCTCTGGTTCCAGACCATCTTCGACATGCTGCGCCACTTCCACACGCACCCCATTCCCCTCGAGTCGGGCGGCGCGGCCGACATCACCCTCCGCAGCTACGTCGTGGCCCAGAGCCCGCTGCCCGGTAGGTGTCGGGGTCGGGCAGGGGCACGGCTGCATGGGGAGGGTTGGATTGGTGGTTGGGTTGGGATCTTGCGTGGACCTAGAAGGGACTGATCCCTGGGATTCCCCCACCCCCCTTCTCCCTAAAGCTGTGCCCGTGCTGGTGTGCGTGGCTCTGGAGATGCTCCGAGGTGGGCATTATCCCACTGAAGGTGGGCAGGGAGGACCACGCAGCAGCAGGGCTGTGCCAGGGTGACCCGTGTGTCCCCTGACTGTGGGTGTCAGTCCCCTGGCTCGGGCAGGAGAGGAGCAGAGGGGTCTGAAAGGGCTCGGAGCATCCTGCTATGCCGGGAGAGGGCGGGCAAGGAGGGCTGGGGAAGGACAGGGTCAAGGATGGAGAGAGTGAGCAAGGGAGAGGGTGGATATGGGATGGTGGCAGCGAGGGAGAGGGGAGGCTGAGCCCCCAGGCAGCATTGGAGGGGTCATGCTCCTGTCTCCCTTGCAGATGCCGGCCCCCCACCAGCCCTCGCATCGCAGCCACCGGGCTGCCGGGTTGACCTGCCGCCTCCGCACTACTTCTGCAGCACAGCACCCACCAGCCTGCCGGCCCCACCGCCCACCGAAGGGGTGGCCGTGGCCCCTGCTGGCACCGTTTCTGCACCCTACCACCGCTTAGAGGGTGACCTGGGCCCCCGGAGCCGCAGCGACAGCACCGAGCGCCGGCCAGACCCCCCCACCACCAATGCCGAGGACTACCATGAGGCTGATGGTGCCCGGAGCCGGACCCGGGCAGTGGAAAACCAGTACTCCTTCTACTGAACCCTTCATGCCTGGGGGCTGGGATGGTTGGGGGATGCGGGGCACCATTGCCCCTCACCGCTGCACCAGCCTCGCCACCTCCTCCTGCCACCACCAGCATCCCAGCCGGGATGTCCCTCTTGCTCCCTGTCACTTTTGGGAGCTGTGTGAGCAGCGGGTGATGTCCCGGCTGGACCCGGCACCAGGCCCAAGGTTGGGGCAGCGCTGGGGGTTTCAGAGGCTGAAAGCATCAGTGCCATTTTGGAGTTTGCAGCCTCTTCCCTTTCCCTTCGGACCAAGAGCTCTCCTGGGGCCAAGCCAGGCTCCCCGTGTCTCCTCCGTGGGGATGCCCCTCCTGGGGTGGCGGCAAGCTGCGACGGGCTCCGTCCTCCAGCCAAAGCACCTCGGCACGTTCCCTCTGGGGTGAGAGCCCAGCGTGGCCAACATCCATTCTGGCACCATCGCCCCGCAAACCAGGGGCTGAGGGGCTCTGGCGTTCTGGGATGGCCATGGAAGTGGCAGATCCATACATGGAGGCTTTTCTCGCACACGCGGATCCATGTGCCCTAGAGGGCAGCCCTCCAGAGGTGTGAGGCTTTATCAAGGTTGGCATCCAGACTCCCTCTGGGGCACGCGTTTCCCACCCTCTGCCAGAAGGTTTTTTTCCCAAAGCTTAATGAATCGCATTCGAGGAAGGTTTTTCCTGCTGTCCTGCCATTTTCTGTTCCTTTGTCCTTTTTCTCCTTGCTGTACTGATGGAGAGTCTCTGGATGACCCCTTTCTTCCTCCCTCTCTTCCGTGCTTTTTCAAAACCTCAGCTCTCTGCAAGGGCATCAGCTCAGCCTTCTGCCTTCTCTCTACCCCAGGGGGGCAATATTCTCCGTTGCTCAAGGCAAACCTTGAAAAATATAACAACACCCCCGCTTTGCATCAGTTGTTAGTCATTCGGGATGTCTCAGGGGGGATCAGACAGAGATCTGGGGCTGTGTCCGGGGGTGAGAGGCAGCCTTGCCCTGCAGGTGCTTGGCTGGGCTCCCGGGAATGAAAACACTACACATCTTCAGTAGATGCTACTGAAGATTATTATTTTTTCTTAGAGAAATCAAAATGCCCAGGAAGAGCAAAAGGAATGGGGCTGCTGAGAGGTGGGTGAACAGGCAGCCGACACGGAGGGGCCAGGCCAGGCCGACTGCGGCCACAGACAGGATTGCCCTCGCCGATGGCTGAAGTCCGTCCCCACCAGCCGTAAAACCCTGCCAGCGACGGCTGTAGCAGCACTGCTGCCAGGAAGGACCAGGCACTGCAGCGGTCACTGCTTCTTGGGGGCTTTCTGATAGACCAGTGCAGCCACATGCATCTATAGCAGAAAAAGGAGGTCCCCTGATAGAGGCGAGCCCTGGAAGAGAGTGTAGAGCAGATGCCCGCTGTGGCCAGGTACGCGCTATGTTGTCGATACTTTTCCTACTGGTCACTGAAGCCCTTAGGGTGGTTTTACAGGCCAGGCTGCTTACTGGGATTATGTGCCTCACGTGGGGTGGGAGACCCTCCGAAAGAGCAGCTTTGCTTGCAGACAAAATGCTTGCACGTCCCTCTGCATTTGCCTCACACAGCTCGTTTTCCCCATCACCAGGACTCCTGGCTCCTCGTGTGGCTGCCAGGCCTGGGTGACCGTGCTAGCAGGACCTGAGCGAGGTGGCTTTGAAGCGTCTGGATAGGTCTCCAGGTAGAGCAGACCCCACCATACCCAGCTAGAAGTTACCACTTAGTGCAAAGAGAGGTATGAGCCGAGCCCCAACCTAGCTCAAAACCCCTTCAATTTACCTGGATATTTGAGTTGGGTCAAATTATTATTTTTTTTAGGTGCCTTCTTTCCTGAGCTAGCAAAGCATGTCCCCAGCACTGGAGTCGCTTGTCTCTCCCACTTCAAGAGGGCAGGGAAGGTTTCTCCAAGGTTCCTTGCCTCCTCCTGCGATGTGAGAGGTGCCTTTCTGGCCCACAGGCACATGAGACAAGGGCTGGTGGATCTCATTCCTGCGGGAAATGCCACCTTCTCCCCAGACGCATGGTCCTTCAGACGGCAGCGGGAGCAGTTTGCTCTGGTGGGGGTATTTCTCCTTCCTCAGTACAGCTAAAACCCACCTCAGAGGAGCCCATGCAGCGGGGAGAGGCCAGATGCTCTCGGTTGATGTGTTTAACATGGACCTGCTTCCTTCACACACATGGTGAATGAGGGGGGAACCTCCGGATGCAGCACAGACATCGTCACTTTTGTTCTTCACTGAGGTCCCAATGTGCCAGGCGGTTTGGGATGGGAGCACTGCCTTACAGACCTTCAGACGTTGGCTGATTTTTCACCTTCTGTGTCGCGGGATAGGAAAAGGAGGGGGAAGCAATGAACTGCAAGCAAAAATGTTAATTTGTAAATAGGGAAGAGTCCGGAAGAGTTTACTGTTCTGTAGAATAAATTAATTTTATTTAAAAAAAAAAAGGAAGGGACTTGTTAAACAAATGGAAAACTCGAGTTCCAGTTTTAAAATAAAATCACTTGCAAAAAGGACAGTACATGAGCTTGGGGCTTTGCTGGATTTGCTACACACACAAAAAAAAAAAAAAAAAGGGAGAGGGAGAGGGAGGATGCTGTCATGTCGCATGTGTGTAGACCTCGATGCTGTCTCGAGGCAGTTGGGGCCGGGCTCAGACTGCCTCTGCCTGATGGAGTGCGCTGAGGATGGAGGAGAGGGGTAATTTTCTCACTGTTGAGCAGAGGGAGGTGGAGGATGGGTCTGCACAAGGCAGGGTTTCCTCTCCTCCCAGTCTGTTATTTTCTTTGTCTGGTTTGTCACTGGTGCAAGTCGGAACGCCTCCATCCCTGAAGCAGCGCAGATAATAGTGAATTAGCAGCCCTGGGGAGTGGAGATGGACCTCCCTCGCCAAAGGCCTGTGCTAGCATCTCCTAGCAGCCGAGGTCCCCGTAGCGTGTCATCCCCCCCTCCTATGCCTTCATCTCTCCTGGGAGGCAGTGCCTCACACTCTGCTGTTGTACGTCTTTCTAGTGTGCTCTCTTCTGCTGAGGATCCCCTGGGAAAACTGGTACGTTGTCCCAGACTGTACTGTCACAGCTAAGCAGCGTGACAGACACGGCTTCCAGACGCAGCTAACACATGGCTTTTGGGGGGAGGTGGAGGGAGCTGCTCAGCTCTGCTGTCAGGCCGTGGTTGTGTCACGATCCATTCACAAAAACATGCTCTCTCCAAAAGCCTCCAGAGCCTGTTCACCGGTCCTGGAGAGCTCATCCATCAGGAGCTGGGCAGCTGGGGAGGTGACAGCCCCTCCGTATGGACAACTTCGTTGCCCTCAAGGCGGGCACTGAGGGCTGTGCCTGCGGGACAGCTGCTCCTCCTGCCTCACGGTAAGCCGTTCACACCTCAGCGTATTAGCAAATTGACTAATTACAGCATTAGTCTTGCTGGAAAACACGCTTTCCTTTCGTTTCACAGGGTTCCCGGGAGGGCAGGGGCAGGACACAACAGCCCTTTGCATCCAACACAGAGATCTAGTAGTGAAACAAGGGAAAAGCAGCCTCAGCGCATGGGCTGGGCTGGACTGTGTGCCAGCGATGTCCTCTGCCGGGGGGCAGAGCAGGACTGGTCCGCGGGGACGCTGGCGCTGAGCTGCACCCTGGCAGATACTATCAAGAGAGCAAAATTGTGAAGGGATTTCAGCAGCACAGCCTCCCACGTTTCACGTGGGTGTTTGAGCTGCCCGTGGCTGCTCCTGCCCGCCTGCCATGCAGGGTCTTTCTCAGCAAAGGCTTATGGTGCTTCCAGAAGGATCCGTTTGGTAGGAAAACCCCTCAGAATGCCTTTGCTCTGCCACACAAAGGAGCTGCTTTGATACAGCTCAGGGAGCTGAATTTTGTGTTTGGTTTGCACTGAAGGATGAAAACACTTCCCTGTTCTAATGCAAATCCCCTGTCCCCAGTAAGCCCAGCTCTATCCAGATTCCAGCCCAGCACTCTTGATTTCGTGGGCTTTGTATTTTTTAATGGCACGATGAAATACTTCCTATGTTTTTATGACCCAGGTAATAGTCTTCTCCCCTCTCCCCAGATACATCTTAAAAGTAACGTGCATAATACATCAAGAGTCTGCACTAATTCCCTAGACATGTAGTTTGAGAGCGAGATGCTCCTAGGTCTCTTTCCCCACGCTGTTTGTGTGGGTTCCGCTGGATGACAGGCAACTGCCTGCTATTTCTCAGGGCTGTGTGTCATTGCTGGCACAAGCCACGTTTTGGGCAAGAGAACTGAGTTGCCCAGCTGCTCCCTGCAGCCCTTGGGCTGTCGCAATGTCTGCGGGCACGGCTGCCAGCCTGCCTTCCTCTCGTGAGGACTGGCATGAGAGTGCTGAGACCTGACAGCTCATCGCTCACGCCCCTGCTTTTGGAAGCTATGTTTTGGAGAGGTGGCTGTGGCAGCAAGGAGGAAGAAAGAGGGTGACGCCTAATGGGCTAGTGAGCTAAACTGGCCTGCATTGTGCTCAGGACTCAGCAGAGCAGAGGGAAGAGGAACCTCAATCGATTTGCAGCAACTCTGCTTCTAAAATCCATTCTGCAGTGACTGAGAGGGGACGGGGGCACGTACTTGCCCCAGTCTCTGCAAATGGAGCTGGTATTTCCCTGGTAGGGGCTGAGTACAGGCTAGCACTGTCTGGTTTCTCTCCTGGTGGGCTGAACAGGACCCAAGGCTGAGAGACCTGCAGGCACAGGAGCTCGTGAGCTGGGAGACAGCATGGGGGAAGCTGTTTGCATTGCTCCAGCCAGGGCTGTGACTGCAAGGATGCCTTCCAAGGCCAGCACGGCCAGCTGGGAACGCAGCCAACACTAAATTCACACCATTCTTTTACAAATCAGGTTGGTAAGACAAACATGAGGCATAAACTAGCACCATTTCCATAGCAACCTCAGTAGAGGTTGAAAAGTCTTTTGTAAACATAGGGCTGAACCTGAGGATCAGCTCCCAT